TCCTCTATATACGCAAGATTTCTATTTTAAACTTTGCCTACTGCCATTTTCCGTTTGAGTGGGTAAGCAATTAAATGCCATATTTAATGTCAGTTATATGTAATATTTAAACAAGAACAGACAACCGACTTTGTACATATTAAATGACTTTGCGAGCGGACACACGCGCGTAAGCATTGTTCATTTGATAAAAAGTTAATACTTTATTGTCTATTTATGATTCTGCCTATTGAAACATAATGATATATAATAATATATCAAAAATAATATAATGTAAATAACATATCAAAAATGGTTTCATTTTAGTTTGCTAAAGGTTTCATTTTGTTATGTTCACAAATGTTTTTCTATATGTCGTGTCCTTTTAAGATGTTGGCAGTCATGGCTCTCCACAATTTCTGGTAACTCTTAATAAATGTTGTATTTTTGTTATTTCTCCTAAACATTGTTTCGCCATTTATTTACTACAATAAATTTGAATAGGACATTTCGTTACAGTTGGACAAAGGATAACGTTAAGATTAACAAGGAACCTAATTCGTCTGACCACTTCCAACCACCTGGATAGACAGCGGAACCAGGGCGTAATCTGACGCTCTTCCTGGCCTGACACTGCCCCTATGACTAGCTGGTTGAAGTTTCTAGGACGCGTGATGAGGAAGGAGAGCCTGGAGAATCTGATACTCACGGGTCGAATAGAGGGAAAGAGAGATAAGGGAAAACAACGCGTGACATACCTGGCGGACTTAAGCAAGTGGATGACAGAATGTGATTTGGGGGAGGAAGCAGGGGGTACGGAAATTGTTGAGAGCTGCAAGGGATAGAGGGAGGTGGAGAGCCATGATCGCCTACGTCCTGAAAAAACATGGCACATAAAAAGAAAGAATTAAATCTACGTGACTATATGCATATATAAATCTCGTGACCAGATTAATTACCAACGCGTACAAACATGATATTCTGAGTTTACAACATGTTGCGGAATATTTTGCATTTGATTTTTTCGAAACTGAATTACAGGTGTGCCATGCAAAGCTTGTTTCACATTATTGTAAAAATAGGAGATTAAATTTCTGCAATTTCTAATTTACATGGATAATAATGGACCATTCAGTATTGATTCCGAGGAATGACGGAGGAAAAGGTTGTCTCTTTTAGGGAGAGAAAGAAAGACACTTCGGCGTGATATAATGATTAGCAGACATGTTCTCGCTAGAACAATTACGACCGTTCGGTCCCATACTTTCGGTTTCGAGCCACATTTAAGCCACAATTAGAAATCTCAGCACAACAAGAGAGAAAGGACGTCATAATAAGAAAGTTTGATATCTAAAGGGTTGTTAGAAATTTATTTTTAATCAAAAAAAAAAAAATATGACGTAATATTTCATTAATAATAATTCTTTATTAAATTAAATTTTTAAAAATTACAATTTTATTCTTCCCATGATCTGATATAAACAATAGACTATTCTGTTTTGGTTACGCGGAAAGACAGAAAAATATATGAGATAATGTCTGTCTTAATGATTCATTAATTTCCTACGGTTTATCAACCTTTATATATATATATATATATATATATATATATATATATATATATTTAAAGCCAGAAAATATTTTTAGATTGTAAGAATCTGGGACAGGGGATAGAGATAATAATTATTTAGTCATGTAAGTTTTGCTAATTCACCCATAGCTGGAGAAGAAGAGGTAGATCTATACTTTTCCCACGAGTATTTGCAAGGGAATATACGAACCCCAATGGGAATTTGAACTCGGCTCTCCGAATAACAATTCCGAGTCATTATCCATTACACCACCCGCATATCCAAGTTTACAGCACCTAGTGACCAGGCTCCACGCTGCTTAATTTCTGTGATCGTACAGGAATCTGTGTTTCAACGCTATACGGCCGCAAGCTGTCTGGTTTTAGTGAGCATACATAATAAGTAAGAAAGTAAAATCGATGAGGCACTGAACGTCTGCTTCAACGAAATAGATAATCTTGTCAGTTTTTAATATTTTCATTTGTACCCTCTTCTTTAAATAATAACCTGCGTTCATAATATTGATTGTTATTGCAATATTTTGCTAGAGCTTTTTAGCTCATGTTTCTTTTTTCCCCAATGACGTTCACCCTGTACAAGGCATTCGAGCCGCTCGAGGCAGAGGCTTACAGAGTAAAACACAGTTTATACGGGTATGTGGGGAAGATATAGGGATCAGAGAAGCATACTCTTATGCAAAAAGCAGCCGTTTGTGGGAGGAAGTTGCTCGAGTGGAACTCACATCTCACCAAGACGAATGGGATGATGGTGGCAGCTACAATGTGCGTACCATGGCGGGTCTTACCTGTGAACTGATGGAACTAAAGAAATATAGTTTTCATGAAAATAGCCATAGAGCAACGAAATGCTTGCGGCGTTTCGTCTGTATTGGATGGCGAAAAATAATTTGTCACCAACAAGGACTTGGAGACGATTTGGATTTTGTTGAGACTGGAAAGTGAAGACTAGGCATTCCTGTCCATATAGTAACAGTACTCCATTTTTCGGCCTTATCTTGTAGAGTTAGAGGATAACAGGAGCCGGGTACTTACTGGAGAAGCACGGGGATTATTTTTTTCAACATCTTTACCAATAGATTGTATAAAATAGTTCCACTTGAGGTCTGCGTTGAGTTTGAGTCCCAATAGACGCTCAGGGCACTGGACCTCCCTGGGGTAACATCCGTTCGCCGGGATTGGTGACAGTTCTGGGTTCGATCGGCAATGATGGAAGTTTAATGACGCAATAGTATAATTTCCACAGCTATGCTTTTGAAAATTGCAAGGACCATATTCAGTCATTAAATGAAGAATTATGATTCTTTAGAAATTTCAAAACAGAAAAACGTAAAATTTTCACGTATACTGAAAATTGATGGAATATATATATATATATATATATATATATATATATATATATATATATATAGAGAGAGAGAGATGAGAGAGATGACGTGAATATATTTATTATATATATATATATATATATATATATATATATATATAGTTGACGTGAATATATTTATTATATATATATATATAGTTGATGTCAATATATTTATTATATTATGTATATATATAGTTGATGTGAATATATATATTATATATTATACAGGGTGTCCATAAAGTTCGTGGGCACTTAAAAAAATTATAACTTATTTTGTATTTGCGATAGAAATAATTTGCAAAAAGGATTAGAAAGAAGTAAATCTATATTTTTAACGTTTTATTGAAATTTTATTTAAGATTCCACATGTCCTCCATCATTAGCAATACAAAGGGTAATACGATTTTGTAGTTCACGGAAAACATTTGCCAACTGATTTACAGTAATGCCTGGAATCACATTAGTTATTTTAGCTATACTTAAAACTAGGTACGTTAAACATTATAAAAATTTTTACAGATTATTTCTATCACAAATACAAATAAGGTTATAATTTTTTTAAAGTACACTCGAACTTTATGGACGCACTGTACAAATACACACACACACACATATATATATATATATTATATATATATATATATATATATATATATGATGTGAATATATTTATTATATATTATATATACATATTTGACGTGAATATATTTATTATATATTATATATATAGTTGATATGAATTGTGAATATATTTATTAAATGTTATTATATATATATATATATATATATATATATTCATTATATATTTATATATCTGAATCTATTTATTATATACATATATAGTCATATATTATACATCTGAATATATTTATTAAATATATATATACATTATATATTATATATCTGAATTTATTTATTATATATATATATTCATTATATATTATATATCTGAATTTATTTATTATATATATATATTCATTATATATTATATATCTGAATCTATTTATATATATATATTCATTATATATTATATATCTGATTCTATTTATTATATATATATATATGCATTATATATTATATATCTGAATCTATGTATATATATATATATATAAGCATTATATATCTGAATCTATTTATATATATATATATATTCATTATATATTATATATCTGAATCTATTTATTATATATGTATATATATATATATATTCATTATATATTGTATATCTGAATCTATTTATTATATATATATTCATTATATATTATATATCTGAATCTATTATATATATATATATATATACATACATATATTCATTATATATTATGTATCTGAATCTATTTATTATATATATATATATATATATATATTCATTATATATTATGTATCTGAATCTATTTATTATATATATATATATATATATATATTCATTATATATTATGTATCTGAATCTATTTATTTATATATATATATATATATATATTCATTATATATGTGAATCTTTTATATGTATATATTCATTATATATTATATATGTGAATCTATTTATTATATATATATATATATTCATTATATATTATATATCTGAATCTATTTATTATATATATATATATTCATTATATATTATATATCTGAATCTATTTATTATATATATATATTCATTATATATTATATATCTGAATCTATTTATTATATATATGTGTGTGTGTGTGTGTAAAAATATATAGAAAATGAGAAAGAACTCGTTAGGTAAATAATCCAAAGTTCTTAAGTATTTTTGTTATTATTTTTTTAAAAAATAGTGCTCGATACAAAATTAGAGCATAAATATAATTATTGGAATCATATTTTTAAATAAATAATTATATATATATATATATATATATATATATATATATATATATATATATATATATATATATATATATAGTAGAAGAGAAAATGACTTTTTTATAAAAATAAGATGAAAATTACTCCCGGAAATTAAATTTGTCACTGTCATTGATTTTCTCAAATTTTTAATGTTTGCAGTTGAATTCATTATAGAAAGTAGCATTGTTTACATACCATTTGCGTCCATTACTCTCGACCACCCACTGCTTATGCGGTAACCACAAATCAACGGCGTACTGAAATTACAATCCAACGACATATCTGGAGAAGAAAAAAAAATTAAGAAAATATCTTACTTATCCATGATGTATAATCTCTTCCCCTCTATCTATATATTCACACACTTATACACACCCGTGCTCGCGTAGATACAGCGGGTCTAAGTGAACTTCAGCATAAATTGGGAAACATTAAGAAACGAAATCACTGGCAACACCATAGAGGATTCTTCTTTTATTTGCTATCAGGGGAAACTTCCAACCAGGTCGTTTAATAAAGTATAGGACTCCCACCTCCGAGCGATGCCGTGTCATCAAGAGCACTGGCTACATACACAGCTATGGAACACAGTCTACAAGAAGGTTCATCCTCTATTTGACAGGTCTTATTTTTAATCCTCCTTGGAGTTTTAGCCACCCTCCTCACCAGAAATAAAACCTGGCGGCGGAATTTGTTTAGTAGTCGACCAGGCGGTAGATAATACTAGATTACAACACTAGGGATGTAGTTGTTAGGGAAGCTGAAAAAGGCCGTGTAAAACTATTGGACCAATAAAAGATCTGAGATGATAGTAGGAATCCATTTATCTAGCGAGATAAATGTAGCGCCCTGTTTAGTCAAAATTAAATCCTTTGGTGGTGAAACTGGAGTGGCCTCTCCAGGGCGAAGGCCTGGACAATAATATATGGAGGTCATGCTTTGCCCAGACTACATAGCACTTCTCTCGGTGCTACTGACAAGATCCAAAAGAATGCAGAGCATTATATTTGGGGCCGACTTGGCTGCAGGGGTTCCTGGGAAGTTGTCAGCGTTGACAGTCAACGGCCTTCGGAGCTCCACTCCGGGTTTGCTGTCTGTATTTAGTTCCATAGTTTTTTTCCGTGATTGGATATGACCGAAAACTATTAGAGGTTTAAAATCGAGGTTTTCTTTCCCCTAGTGGGCTGCTTTCCTGGGCTGTCGAACTCTGTCTATCCGAAGCAGCTGGTTATGAGGCACCAGATTTCCGCCTTTACCAATTTTCCGGATTGAAGCTAGACTTTTTGAGACACATGCCACGGAAGCATTTTATAGACAATGTTAGCTTGTTCCCGCTATCACATCCGGCTATGACAACCATTGGAATATATATAATGTATTGGAACGTATACAAACATATACAATATATTGGAACGTGTATAAACATTATATACATTACGTGCCTTAGGTCATATTTATCTGAGATGATAAAACTATGATAATATGCAAGTTACTAAGTAGGAATTGTTCCATTTTATTAAGACGAGTGTAAGATGCCTTGACAAGTTATTGTAGTTGGACATTAAGTTGCTTTTTTATACTAAATTTCTATTAGTGCTTATAAGTAATATGATATAAATACAAATAAAATAGGTATACAGTAATGAAAAAACAAAACGTGTGCACAAAACGTATTGTGTTGATTATACAAGCATATCAATAATAAACATATCAATGTATCAAACTGTTTGCCCCGTCATTCACACACACTTCTCTTTACCTGAAAAACATTTATTATTTAGTAAACAATAAAAATTATGAAAATAAATATATTATAAATGATTTTAATAAATTAAATGATTCCTAGAACTTCTATTGTAATACTGATAGTACTACCGTAATACGTACTGTATACCTACTTTCGCAGCCCCTTGTATACAAATGTAAAAACTCTTATAGGGCAGCGATTATATAATAATAATATCATACACGACTTCTATCCCATAATAGTTGTTACTTTTGCATACACCTTATGGAAGAGAAAGAGAGTTCTCAGTTTCTGGAATAAGAAACTTCGCAAAACATTTGTCTGTGTTTTAACGAAAAACGATATAAATACAAAAATAATTGATATTATAGAATTAAATATTCTCGACATCTACTTGTAAGATAGTGTTACTCACATGGACAATTTTGGTCGTCTACTCGAACGTTATCGATGGCGATGTCCCCAAGATAAGAAGATCCGTGCACGGCAACAAGGCTGAAGGCATCGATATTATTTACAATTCGCAGGCAGAAATATTTCCACTTATCGCCTTGGTTTCCGGATACTGCCCACTCTTCTTTGCTCAACTGACCAACATGATATCGCAAACGCAAGCTGCCCATACTTTTGCCGTACATATGATACCAGAAATGCAAGTATCTGCCCGTTGTGTTCCCCACTGGGAAATTAACAATAGCCGAGTCTCCGTCACTTCCGTACGAACTTTCAGCATACAAGTAAAAGCCTGAAAAGAGGAAAATTAGAAATATTATTGCAGTTTTTTTTTTCTGAAAATGAATGTGTTATCCTAATATTTTATCTTATTTTATTATTGAGGTGAAATACCAAATAAGGAAATCTCAGTCAAGGACACATGGCACAGTGGATAAAGGCGTTAGTTAGATCCAGTGACAGGACCCAAAGAGTGTGAGTTCAATACCTGGTTAAGACGGTGGAGAACTTAGAGAGGGGAATAAACAGGAGATAACTGATAACTGACATCCATTAGACATGGCACGTGGAACTAGAATAGTCTACCCCAGTGAGCGAGATAAAGGGTTCAGTTCGACATTCCAACCACCTGATGAAGGCTGGAGCGTACAACGGCTGAAACGTTGTGATAAATATGGCAACAAAGATGAGGACAATAGTCCGGATAATGTAAATAATGTACATAATACCGCATCTTAGAAATATAGACTGATACTAAATGGTTTTAAAATAAATGTGGTAAATGTAACACTAATGTACACAGGTGTGCAAACGTTTGAGGACAACTAAATAAAATCATTTACGCTCTTATTTTATGAAGATTGTTTAGTAATAGGCTTATAAAGGTAAAGTCTATGAACTTTGAGGATTGAGAAGTTTTGAGGGGCGTAGAATCAACTCTTAATTTCTATTGTTCCCACCCTGACCCAGGGTGGTAGAAGCTGCTATGGGGTCAAAACATGAAAATACTTTAGAAAAATTACCAGCAATACATTTTCATAGTAAAAAAATAAAATAAATAAAAAATTACCAGCAAAAACATTTTTGAAAAAAAAAAAAAAAAACTTACAAAAAAATCAAATTTAATCATTAAATGACCCATAAGGTGTTAATATGCCGTTAAACAAACAAACTAAACCAAATCTTGAAGATTGTGTAAAATAACCACAACGGCAATGGTAGTAATAATTCACAATTATTTTATTTTCGTACTAATAAGCTACAAATACAAAATATAGTGATTTTCCAGGCGTAGTTCAGATGTGGCACAAGGCCGAAAGTATGGGACACCCGGTGAGGATCGAACTCACAACTCAGTCGTAATTGTTGTAGCGTGATAAGCTTGCTAACCATTACACCACTTCGAGGCGCCCACAAATACAAAATCTATCTGGCCGCTGGCCGAGGTAACTTATGTTTTCCTATGAAAATCCCCCAATTATCTAATGAGACCTTCGACTTCTACTCTACAGATTCGAATAAATGTTCTTGCGTTTTTCTAGGTGCCGTTTACACAGCTATAATCAGCTTGAAGTAAAAGATCTAAGTCATGATAATATGAAAATTCTCTAGGAGGAATTGTGCCATCTTATTAACACGAGTGTTAGGTGTCTTGATAAGTCATTTTAGTTGAATATTAGCTTACTCTTTTTATTCTTTGAAATCATTAAAAAAAAACATTTCTGAAAATTCCTGATGATAGTTGAAGCGAAAAGTAACTGGACAAGAGAATTTATAGAAAAAGTTTCCAATTCATCCCAAAAGACATTTTCTACTATAGAAAGTGTTTGAAATACAAATAAAACCGGAAGAGCCCGACAGTTAGATAAGAGACTTGAAAGAAAGATTGTGAGACATTCGGTAGACAATCGACCGTGAGGAGTGAAATCAGTTTTAACAGTGATATTTCAGTTCATACAGTCCGCGGGATATAACAGAAAATAACCCAACTTGAAGATGCGTAAAGCAGCAACAAATCTCCAACATTAATTAAAACACATCGGAGAAGATTGAAGTGGTTAAAAGAACATCCAACATACAATGCTGGAAAGTGACAAAAAGTAATTTTTAGTGATGAATGCAAAATAGAGTTACATTCTAATGCAGGAGAATATATAAGGCCGGTAGGAGTAAGAAACAATGCAAGATACATAACAAAAACGGTAAAATTTGGTGGTAAAAATGGTGTGTGGTCTCATCAAAATCGATGGTAAAGAAAATTGGCAAAAGTTGAAAGCTATATTAGTTTATTACGGTCTAATCTTCTGCCAGACTGCGAAGATGAGAGATTTTTTTACAATGACAGTGCTCTATGTCATACATCACCCGCAACCAAAAAGGTTTCTTGGAGACAAAGATATCCATCTTTTGGAAGACGAGCAAGCACAAAGTCATGATCTCAATATAACTGAACCATTGGGAAGGGTACTGAAGAAACACGTGCCCTAATGAAAAATATTCAATCTGCAAGCGCTTTGGGATTACTGACAGGAATAGGAAACATTTTCTAATGCGAAAAAAAGGGACCTTGTTCCATTCAACACCATATTGAATTGAGGCATTTGTTCGAGACAAAGACTAAAGTGCTAATATCTAACTCTATACGCTGACGTTTTGTACTTTCAGTTATAACAAATATAACTTTTTCATTTCTTTTTAACTTAAGAAAGAATTGATTATGCTCAAGATGCTCTATCAACCACTATGCAGCATTAACTAAAATGCAGTAACTTGTTTTCTGGTCCTCAAAGATCATAAAATGTACCCAGAAAAGTATGCTGCTAATACCTATCGATTGTGGGGTAAAATTAACAAAAGTAATTGATTTATTAATGAAGCCCAAAGGTTTTGCACGCTAGTATTATTACTATATGGCTTTTTTCGTCGATAGCGACGGTCAGCAGCGAAAAATAAAACACAGCGTCGATCATGGCTAAAACAATCAATACGCGATCGGTACGGTTTTTGACAACGCCCATAGTAGTAGAGTCATCCACCGTGAGTCCTCTGCGTCTTTGTCTAGCGTCTACAGCGCTCTGGGCTCTATTCTCTTCATAGCGCTTTGCTCCCACGTAAACAGCAGCTCTTCACCTCACTCGATCCCGGACAACCCCATCCCAGTTCACAACATTGATAGAAAATTCTGTCATCGACGTTTTACATTGGTCCTTGGAGCAAAGCTTGGGTCGTCCAACGTTACGCCGCCTGTCCTCAGGCGGTCCCCCATATAGTATCTGTTTGGGAATTCTGGAGTTATCCATGCGCGCAACGTGCCAAAGCCACCTGAGACGCCGAGACCGCAGGATGGCATATATTGAGTGAATGCCAAGGACATAAGTATGGGGTGTATTTGAACTCGCCTCGAAGATTCCATTTTCTGCACCGATAACCGTTACGGTACCGACACTGAAAGATAATTAATTTTAAGAATTATATTAAATAATTTACTGAATTTAAATATCAAGAATAAAAATTAATAATTCGTTAATCGATGACAGCCATCAAAACTTATGATAATTCGTTTATCTGTCTACCTGGTGCTTCGTGATGTTTCTGTAATCGAAGCCCCACGCCAAGTCTCTGTACTCTAAGTAAGAGTTAGTGTTCTGTTAAGGTTTTCCTTCCTAGACGACCACGTGTCCCTACATTAATGAATTCCAGGGTTTGGGAATTCATAGATTTCCTTCTCCTTGATTGGTTGCCAACCAAGATTAAAGAACTCAGTCTGCTCTAATATTTAACACATAGCTGAGGTAGAAGAGATTGATACATTCCTTTCCCAAGGGTATTTACGCGAAAGTGAATGTAATAAATTCGACTGGAAATCGACCTCCGTTAGCCGTTTTTTCATTCTGAGCTACTATATATTATATAACCCACAAATTACACTATATCATTATTAATTTGACATTTAAAATATAGCAGACTTTCTTCCTTACCATTAAATGATTTAGCAGCATCTCCGTTGGGTCCTGTTCCGAAAGTGGGAGTAGCACCTTTGTATCTCTTCCAGACATATTCCGAAGCACCTGTGCAAGCAAGTGTGTAGTTACAAAGCAGCGTGTTGTCAAATGTACACAGACTCATCTGTACACTGTCTGTAATAGAAAATAAAGTAAATAATTCATATCAATGATTTAGATTTGATATAAAAAATTATGGCGACAGCAAATATCAATTGGCCTCGCCTGCCAAACATGCACTTTTTCGATGCTAACAAGTTGGACAGCAGCTAAATTCTAAACAGTCTCCGATCCTCAATTTCACTCTTATTCTTTTTTATTCCATGTCTCTTTAGGACTTAGCATTGTTTGGCTTGGTTTGCTTTATGGCTTATCAACTGTTTATGCCTTTTAATGCCGAAATTTAATGTTTTCTAAACAAAGCCTTCTATTTAAATAATCAAGATATTTTATTTCAAATAGTAAGGCTAAGTTAGTTATGGCTATTTTTTAAATTATATTTTTGAAATCAGTTCTAATTTTTTTTTAGTGTTGCTTTGATTGTAATTTTACTAGAAAAATATATTGTTGTTCATTTTATTATAAAAATGTACTGTTGATTTTTGTTTAGGGGTTCACTATTTGCCCATACCTGGGGCCCTAACAGGTGCTACCATCCTGGATCAGGGTGGACCTGGGAACAACAGCGATTAAGAGTGGGTGCATGCTCCTCAAAACCTTTAATCTTCTGATCTGAGGCCTTGCTACCGGATGTAGTTTATTGTCATACCCAGGAATGATAAATTTATATAACTTTCTATCCGATTCATCTCCAAACAATATTTAGCGCCTTACTATCTCTACCAATGACTGTTCTGCTAACCGTTTACACGATATCCTTAAGTGGCTTATTCCATGTTATTTTTTTTTCTTTTAATAAGAAATGTGTTCCAAAAATTTCAACAGTCACTTCCATTATTTTATCTAAAACTCTTAGTCTTTTTTTTTTCTGTTGCCATATATCGTCTGGTGTTCCTGCTATATATTTAGCGATCCTTGATAAAATCCAAAGAAGAATCTGCAAGATCATTGGCTCTGACCTGGTATCATAGCTGCAGACCATTTACCACTACCGTAATGTAGCTTTCTTGTCTTTTCTATAACTACTTGGTAATTGTTCTAATGAACTTTCCACTATGGTAACTAAATTGGCGGCAAGGTCTCATCAATTCACGGTTGAATTGGATGTAACTATAAGTTCTATGCTAACAGTTTCTTTTCTCTCATTTCTTCGCTTATGGAACTCTCTTCCGGTTCCTTGCTTCTCAGTCAAGTTTGATTTCCAAAAATCTAAATACAATGTTTTCTTATATTCTTTCACACTCAGTAATCCTCTGCGTCTTAGTGACTTTGTTGCCTTGCTTGGAATGAAATGACTAAAAAAAGAGCTGGTATTTTGCGCGCATAATCGGAAATGAGTCGGCAAAATCATTTTTCCACCACGAAAGCACACAAGCTTTATAAGCACATAGCTTAAATGTTTTATATGCCTATAGTAACAAACCACTTACCAGCACTGCATAGATGTGTAATTACATCTCAAATATGCATTGTTTCGATGCGTCTCAAAGGTGCACTTACAGAGATGCATCTCAAATAAACACTTATTTCGATGCATCTCAAATTTATATTTATTTCTACGCATTTCAAAGTAGTTTCATAGAAGTGCATTCCAAATATGCACTTACACAGATTCATCTCAATGTACACCTTTATAGGTACATCTCAAATGCATGCGCTCATAGATAAATACCAAATGTGCACTTGTATAGTATACATGACCACTCATATTCGAGAATACATGTCTAGTAGGGCTGCTAGCCAATCCCTGTTGCAGACGTTTGCTCAGGCACATTTGTGTTTATTCCATACCCACAGAACCCCCCTCCGTAGTTTTTACTGAAACTAATCTGAGCAGACCTTAGTTATAGTTTCTGGAAAAAGCCCGTAATTTGAACAAGGCCAGCACGCTCAAGCCCTCGGCCACGATGACTTGTGACTTCGTGTTAGCACAGCTATCGGCGATCCCCAAGGGTTCCGTCTAAACAATTTCACTCATAAGGCTTGGATCAACCCGTGGTATGGTTTTCAGGCACTTTCTAAAGGTGCCGCACGCTGAGATCGACCCCATCAATCCGATAACACCAGGAAGTCTCCTTCCTGACGAATCGACCATAGTGAGAATCGAACATGAGTCTTATGGTCAGAATACGAACGTTCTAACCACTCGGCCACGTGCACTTGTATATATGCATTGAAAATGTCCAGTTATATAGATCTCATCTGCGCATCTTTATAGATGTGCATTAAATCTACATTTACAAAGATGCATTTTAAATGTACAACCACAAAATGCCCCTCACATATAAACTTACATAGAAGCATCTAAAATATGCACTTAAACAAATGGATCTTAAATGTACGCTTATATAGATGCATCGCATATGTACACTTATAAAGACGCATCTGAAATATACACTTACATAGGTGTATCTCAAATGCACACTTATATAGATGTATCACATATGTACACTTATAGTGTACAAAGGTGTATCTTATCTATATACATCTAAAATGTGCAATTATACAGATACATCTAAAATGTATACCTATATCGATGCATATCAAATGTACGCTTACAAATACTCAACTCCTACATAGATGGATGTCAAATATAAACACACAGTGATGCAGCCCATTTATACATTTATCATTAATACCAGAGCAAAAAAGATTCACATGCCGTAGTGTATATATATATATATATATATATATATATATATATATATATATATATATATATATGTGTGTGTGTGTGTGTGTGTGTGTGTGTGTGTATTATGTCTATTTTATTTTAATCCTTCATGGTTCAAATTTTTATATACATGAAAAAATTTATATAAAAAATTTATTTAAAAAAATTGCGGACAATAAATAAAACTAATTATGGCTTTAGTAACAAAGTTCTAAAATGTTTATAAAACAGAGTTTGAAGTATCTAAATTGTAATTGTTAAAAGACTGCAATTGTGACAGAATGTTTTAAAACAAGTAATTTTTAATATATTTTTAAAATATGAATTAAGTTACTTCCCTTACATAGAGGTATTTTTTAATTAACCGAGCGAGTTCTTGCACATGCACAACATTCATAACTATAAATTACATTAATTCGTTGTCTTAGCAATTTACCCCTGAAGATGATCTCGGATGGGATTGAAAGTACTTGGGAAAATAAAAAGTATAAGAACAACTACGGCGTCTTAATCAGTTTTGTACCAACACTAAGATATTGATCTGAAGATTTGAGAGGATTAAAATTAAAATAAATAAACATTATAGGTGTAGATAATTCAACTAAACAATATGCTACATATATATATTACTTCTTTAAAGATACTTACGTTCGCAACTTCCTTGAGAAATGAAAACTTTCTGAACGGCCATAACGCTTTCCGTATTTGGTCCTAGAATGCCAGTAAACAAAAGATAACCCGTTCGATTTGGAGGTAATTCCATACAACCATAATTCAGCTCAGCGCCATGATCTTCTGAATCAGACCAGAACTGGTGATCTGTTTTAATATTAGCTTGAATAAATTTTACCTGGAGTTGTCCAGCATTATCTCCAGATAAATAATAAAAAAATTCTACTCGTTCTTTTGGTGTCGTCTGGAAACTCAGCGATTGGAGGAAACTTCTTGCGCCTTCTTTCCCGATGCCCACCAATGCCACATAATTTTCTTAAATAAGGAAAAAGAAGAGAAAAATCAGTGAAACTCACACATGGATGGTGAGGGTATTTTTAACTCTTGTTGCAGCCGAGGACTAATGACTAATTTTACCATTGACTAATGGTAAAATAATAAATCTTGCATATAACAGAAACATCGGAAATTTCACAGGCTTACATTTTTTAAAAGGCGCATGAGACCTTTCGATCAAGTAATGTATGTATATACAAAAAAAGGATTACAAAAATGGTAATCACTATACAAATAAACTAAATACTTATTGTATTCCAGAAGACAAAAGGAAAATCTTCAATATTTTTATTTTGACTCTGCAGATTATGTAAAATATTACTTCTATAGAATATCCATTAGAAGCAAAGTTCAATTGTGAGAGAGATGGATAAATTTATATAGACCTGCAAAAATTGATTTAAAAAATAGTGCATGGGATATTTGGCTTATTTCTTTTAACAATTTTGGGATACTGAACCCAAAAATAACATCAACTTTTCTTCCTTAGAGTTATTCCTGTTACAGAATAACTTACCCCTTGTAAAATAAAAATGGTCATGATTGGGATTGGTCACTGAAAATAGAAAGACCAAATAAATGCTCATTTGAAGCTTATAGACAATCTGAGTGGGAAATAAAACACAGGTTCTGAGATGCGAAAGAAATATAACCAGATAAGTGATTATAATTTCAAATATTCAGGCCAATTGGAAGAACTTTCGCTTAATTGATTTCGCGAATGCTTAGTAGATTTGTCCCACCTTAGGCTCCAGCAGCAGCGTATGTAATTGTAACAGTGAACACTGAAGTCAACGCTAAGCGGCAAACAATCTGTTTCCTGCTTGTATGAAAGTTCCAGGCCAAGTATATATATATATATTTGGTTGGATAGATGTGAGTTTGTGACCCCGGGTTTCACGCGTAAAACCCAGGGTCACAATCTCACCTCAATCCAATCAAAAATGTTAGCTCCATCTCTGATATTGAGCGCTTTCTAATAAGTACCGCGCATATAATATATAAATAATTATACATATATATATTTATTTATATTTAGATACACTTTTCACATATATATATATATATGTGTGTGCGTTTAAAAATTCAGATATAACTAAAAACGTATCTGTAGAAGGTTAATATGAATAAAGACTAAGATGATTTGTCTTTTGTCTATATATATATATTATAAATTAATTGATTTAAAATATGTTTTTTTCGCTACACAGTAAAAAATAAAAATATCAATAGGAACACCGGATTACATATCTTACTGTTCTTTCTTTTTATTTAAATATATATATATATATATATATATATATATATATATATATATATGTGTGTGTATGTATGTATGTATGTATGAATGTATGTAAGGTAAGGCAAAAGTTGTGGACCGTATGGGTTAATTAATTAATCACCATTCTTTTTCTGTGGGTCCATTTGAAAGTTGTTTATCAGATGCCCCCCAGAAATACTGAGGAACTCAAAGAAAGAATTAAATATGAATGCCGTAAAATGACAGAGGAAAACTTTCCGACGTGTTAATGAATCATGCAGGCACAGAATTGAAATGTGTTTTGAAAAAAGAGGGGATCATTTTGGACAGCATATATAACAATTAAATAAGTAGTAAATAAAAGTTTCATTTGTAATTATGCCTTTAATAAATTATCCTTAGGGTGCGCGACTTTTGCTTCACCCTGCATATATATTGCTGGTTTTTTTTTTTATTGTTCTCTCTCCTTAAAAATATTTGCTTTTTCTTATATTCTCTCACACTCAGTAATGCGTCTTAGTGACTTTATTCCCTTTCGTGGGGTGTACTAATAAAAAAAAATGACCAATCTCTACTTTTGACTTCCGTTTAAATCATTTATATAATGATGGGCACATTTTAAATGCAAGTATCTTAGATTATAAAAATGATATAGTGTACTAAATATATTTATTACATAAATGATATGTTGAACATATTATCTAGAATTTGAATATGACATTCCTGAGATTGTCACCATCACTAAGAGAACATACAAGAGCTCACTCTCTCATTTCAAACACGAACATCATGGGGGCCCATTGTCAGCAAAAGAGATATCAGATACCCGTAGGAAATAGAAAAATCTTTGATAATATGTTGAACATATATATATATATATATATATATATATATATATATATATATATATATACTGCAATTATGTTCAGTGAATCATAGTTACATTTTCTGAGATAATGTGCATAATCTGAAATGATACCCAGTTTGAAGAAGGTCAGTATGCTCAAAACCTCAGTCACAATGACTTATGAATTTGAGCGAGCACAATGATTGACAGCTTCTGACTACCCAATTTAATTCACAAGACTTGGGTCAAACTGTGGTATGCTTTTCAGGCACCTCCACCAACATGATGCATACTGTGATTGTTTTCCCAGAGTGATATTATCAAGAAGTCACCCCTCTTGACAAACGGATCTGGTGACATATATATATATATATATATATATTGCATAACTGAAATACATGAGATAGTCACCACTATGAAGATAACATGCTCTCTCATTTCAAACTCGAATATCATGAGGGTCCACCATCAGTAAAAGAGATATTAGATACCTATCACCCTGTATTAGAATTTACTTGGTCCGAGAGTTGGTGAATATTGCCAGTTTGTATTTGAGTCCATATGCATTTACTTGGAAATCTTATTTTGGGGTAAGATAGTTTACCTCTGCAGAGAGCACTGCCGGCGTACTCTTAGCCACACAGTCACGGTATTCAAGAATGATGGTACTCAAAACATTTACACACGCACCTAATACAATTCAGTAAACGTACTTCTATGATGACAATTGCCGGCTGTTATTTTTAACAAAACAATTTATTTATTCCAATTTATTAAAGTTACTTCAATGAAAGAAAATGTACCTTTTGAATGTTGCGTATTGGTAAAATTGTTTGCTGTTAATGACCATGTTACGTTTTGTGAGACAACGTCCGGAATTATTCTATAACTGCAAAGGGACTTGTTGAATACACAAGACACAGTTAAATCTGAAAATAAATAAATAATTGATAGACAATCAGAGGATCAATCTAATCAGAAATTTAATGCGTATCGCTCCAAATTAAACAAAGTATTAAACAAAATGACTATCGGAACGGACATTTTCGGAGTAAAATTTAAGGAAGGTTCAAAGAAAGTAAAACATGGAAGCTTCTACCATTTGTGCGTTTAATGAAAATCTTTTATAAACAAACAGCGATTCCATTTAGTTCATAAAACAACTACCACACAGCCCCTTTGCCGACAAAGGCGCACGAAACGGTAGTAAGCAGTCCCATTTTCGATAGAGTGGCATGTAGATTCATCGTCGACAAGGTGGCACTTAACTACATCATCGACAAAGTGACACGCAGCTATATCGTCGACAAGGTGATACGCAGCTCCATCGTCAGCAAGGTAGCACGCAATGCTATCGTCGACAAGGTAGCACGTATCTTCATCGTCAGTAAGTTAACACGCAACGTCGACAAGTTTTCACGCAGCTACATCGTCATCAAGGCAGCAAGCAAAGGTAGCATGTAGCTTCATCGTCAGCAAGGTAGCATGTAGCTTCATCATCAGCAAGGTAGCACGTAGCTTCATCGTCAGCAAGGTAGAACGCAACGCCATCGTCAACAAGGTAGCACGTAGCTTCATCGTCAGAAAGATAACACGCAACGCCATCGTCAAGTTTGCACGCAGCTACATCGTCATCAAGGCAGCACGCAATGCGATCTTCGACAAGGTAGCATGTAGCTTCATCATCAGCCAGGTAGTATGTAGCTTCATCGTCAGCCAGGTAACATGTAGCTTCATCGTCAGCCAGGTAACATGTAGCTTCATCATCAGCAAGGTAGCATGTAGCTTCATTGTCAGTAAGATAACACGCAACGCCATCGTCGACAAGTTTGCACGTAGATTCATCGTCGGCAAGAAGGCACGCAACTCCATTATCAACACATCGACAAGGGATCACGTAGCTCCATGGTTGGCAAGATACCAAGCAGCGCCATCATCTACAATATAGCATGTTGTTCCATCTGAGTAAGATCGTAACTCCGTCGACTGCAAGATATAACACAGCGCCACGGTCAAGTTAGTATGTTGCTCTACAGCAGAGAACATAGCAGGTAGATCTATTGTCAACTAGGAACAACGCAGATCCTTCATCGATAAGATATCACGTAGATCCATTGTCGACAAGGTAGCACGTAACTCCATCGTCGACAAGATAGCACACTATACATACATACACACGCATATATATATATATATATATATATATATATATATATATATATATATATATATATATATATAGATGACAGACATTATATCTTCTAATTTTGATAAAAATCCGCTCATACTGACGAATAACCTTCCTTGTATTGGTGTTAAAGTATGAGAGAAATGTTCTCTGTTTAAATTTATTTTATCTTTATTTTACAAGTACTTTTGATCTTCTTCCAAGATCATCTGCTTAAATACACATATTTTAAATTATATAATCCAGCATCCCACCGGAACAATATCACCTGGCAATTTAAACGTGGCCTTGTGAAAAGGCAGATTAAAGTAAATAATGTTAACTTGATAACACTCAACAATCGGAAGCAAGCGATACACAACACACTACAAAGGAAGACCACCTCTGAACAACTTAAACAAATTTAGTATTTGTTTTATAGACTAAAAGAAATTACTAACAAATCGGAATGTAAACATAGGTTAAAAATTCAAAGAAAACGCAATACATTATATAAAGAAACTATATATCTCCTGAATAACTTTGAAAGATTTATAATCATTTCTGATTATGATTTAACTGACAAGAACTACTCAAAATTGCGCCTAACAACCATATATACAAAAAATATAATGGACTACATAAAAAGTTGAGATTGAAACATTATACCAAAATATAATTAAACTCTAGGAACAGTAAATAATTACCACAGAACCAGAAATCTGTGATCTACTTCAAGCAGAATCTATAAAAGACAGACATAATAAAAAGGAAAATTCGTCTAAACTCTTAAAGAAAACACTAAAATTTGCTGTAAAAGTATTACGCAACCATCCGAAATAGTAACTAAGGCCGCTGATAAAGCAAACATCTTTGTTGTTTTAAAAAAGTCTGACTACAACTTAGAAATTGAACAGTTACTTAATGATCACACTAAAGTTAGAAAACTTACTATTAATCCTAATATTCAGCTAAAAGTAAAAATTACTAAATTAATCACAACAATACAGAACAAGACATTCTAAAACTTACCAAAATAATCAGAGACTATAAACCAGGATACATTTATGGTTCTATCAAAACGCACCAACCTAACTTTCCACTCTGCCCTATTATATCCCAACTTCCCACTCCTATTTACCAACTAAAACGTTTAACCAATTAAATACACTATACAAACCTAACAAATACAGCATTAAATCAACCTTTGAATTTATAGAAATATTAAAATCCCAAAAACCTAGGAATGCAACCATAGCATCACTTGACGTTGAAAATCTGTTCACTAACGTTCCATTTAGAGAAACCATCGACATTGTTATTAAAAATATATATAATAATTCATCTCTACCCCCATTAAAAATTAAGCCTAAAATATTAAGAAAATTACTTTTGACCTGTACCATTGAAGTCCCATTTTATGACCACAGAAATAACGTATACGTGCAACGTGATGGCATTTCAATGGGTTCAGTTTGGGTCCAACATTTAGTAACTTCTACATGGCCAACCTAGAAAATAATATATTTAGTACCACCAAGAAACCCTCCATCTACCTAAGATATGTAGATGATATTCTTATTTTAGTCTAAAAAGTTGAAGAAATAATGAAAAAACTTAAAAAAAAACTGTCCTCAAGCTCACATACGAACTTAACAAAGATAACAAAATCCCTTTCCTTAACATTTTAATAGACACAAATAACAACACATTTACTATGTATAAAAAAAACAACCAGCAAAAACTCTCATCTATAAGAGTGAACGTCCAGATTACTACAAAATAGCACTTATACAGAATTTAATTAACCGAGCATAAATTAATTTCTCCACAAAAAAGATTTTCTACATTGAACTAAAAAATATTAAGCAGACTTTCATTAATAATGACTTCCCAAGCCACATTGTAGATGAACAAATAAGACGATATATAAAAAAAACCTCAACAAAGGACACTAAATATATCAAACTACTATATTGTAAACAGATGCATGTTAACTACAAACAGGATGAAAAATCATAAAGAATCTCATTTATACTAACATATATTTTTTCTAATAAAAAATAAAATTATATATCATAAAAAATACAATACAATCAAATTAATTATTCGCAATAACTCCTCCTCACTAACTGATGTATTACATAAAACCAACATTATATACCAATTTAAATGTTCCTTGGGAGAATATATCTCCGACAAAAAAAACAAAAAAACAAATATATATGATGGGTATACGACAAATACACAAACAAGAAGGCTTACACTTCACATGTCTGATCATTCGTCCATTACGAAGCATCTACAACATTCCTGTCTGCATTCACAATATAATGTTCTGAAATTCCTAAAAAGGAACAATTTTTTACGCTTTAATGTGCACATGACGATGACGTTATAACATAGAGCTAAAAAATTCCAAAAAGAATATTTTTTTCACGTTCTAATGAACACTCGGCACATTGTCAACCGTTTGCATTTAAAAGCATAATGAAAAATTACAGTAATGGATAGCAACGCACAACTTTGTATAAATAGTTGTACACCTGAACAACATATAATTTTGTACTACTTGCACCCCTGAAGATGATCTTGGAAGAATATCGAAACTATTTGGGAAATGAAAATAAAAGAAATTTAAACAGTTATAGCACATTTCTCTCATCCTTTAATATCAATACACGGAAGGATATTCATGAGTATGAACGGATTTTGTTAAAAATTAGCAGACATAATGTCTGTAATTTATTAAATCACACACACATATATATATATGTCTACCTGTATATATGTAGAGTAATTTGCGCTGGTTAAATGTAATTGACAGAAATACCCAACAAGTAGAATTGACAAAGTTTGCAATAAACAATAACAAGAGAAAGAATAGAACAGGGCAAAAATAATACTAAGCAAACGATATATGCAAGACAAAAGTAAGCAAGCAAGAATAATGAAGCAAAAAGTTCACAAACTAAAAATGATATTAACACACAAAAGGATACAGACAAAGGATTGTAGCGTTCTAACTTCAAGACAAAAAAGAACAAAAATATGGCGGATTAGATCGAGAAGTTTATCTTATTGCTTCGGAAGTAATACCAGCATGCATCTGTACGATTTGTCTATAAATTGGGGGGGGGGTTTCAGTCATTCCTAATATGTTTGAAACAAACAATATTTATATAATGAACAACATATGTCACAAAGAAGCTTAAGAGAAAATTATATTCACGTGTATACAGATAATTTTTAAAAAATGAAAGAAAATATAAGCGTCGTATGTGTGCTTGTGCGTGTGTGTGGGAGAGGGAGAGAGGGAGAGAGAGAGAGAGAGAGGACGTGAGTAAGTTTCCACGTGGTTTGTATCAAATTAACTAGTTGGTTTGCCAGGAAGGATATCTCCTCTCGGCGGTGACAAATTCTGTGTTGTCGCAGCTACATCTTGATGCAGAAAGGGATCTAGGATGCTTATTTGCCTTCCTTATATAGTCCTGATTAGAACGCCCTCTAGTGGGCGTCATTACAGATAAGTAATTAACCCCACGATACCAAAGCAAGAGGCCTGAAGGGAAATGAATCCTTCTGTAGGGATACAGCGGCCGCTCCAGCTATAAACAAAATGAAGCAAGGAGACGGAATTGCGTAGTAATTGTCAGTAATACATAATTGTTTGCCATCATAGCCTTCTGATTTGAATTTTTCAGCTAAAATATTTGCCACGGGCTTGGCGGATATCCAGTTCGACTTGTAAACACAACACCA